TAGGGTCTGAGGTCCTTCGGGGCAAGGACAGTGTCTCATATTTGACAAACAAATGTCCATTTTTCTCCTTCCATGAGTTGTCAATAAAGGTAGGCTTGGATGTTTAACTCAGTAGCTAGAGCGTATGCCCACTTGGCACACTGAAGAAATAACACCAGCACGCCCGGCATGAATAATGCAAGTATTATATGCTGTGCTTAGATGGGTAAGAGGGAAGAGGAGAGGAGTGAGGGTTTAAGCAGACTGCATGGAAGACAAGGGGGCCTTGCACCTTGACAGATGGGCTAGGGTTTGGATCTTAATCGGTTCATCAGATCCACAAGTCTGCCCCATGCCACAGCAGGCCTGCTGCTGAGTGTGGGGTAGGCTGCGAAATCAGGATAGACACATAATGGGGTATTTCGGGCTGAACTTGGTACTTTCAGGGAGAATGAGAAACTGACACTCAGAGCTATCAAATAAGGACACTGTCCCATTGACAGATCACAGTGGGGACAAGTTCTCCCCCAAAGAATACTTTTTAGATGAGATGAATGAGGGATAGGATCCAATTACCATCGTCAATGGGTCTCTTTTAGACTACTCAGCAATACTGTCATCTTCTCAGGAAAAAGGCAGTGCCAAACATCAGAGCGACACAGCTTTTCCTGGAGATCTTCCAGGTTTGAGTTAATTAGTCTCACTTTTGAAGCTGTGACATCCGACCATATCCCACAGTCCACATTGTTCAGAGAGTAACACTTAGCCTGAAAGGTTGACACTTAAAAAGATGGGCCTGGAATCAGCAAGCAGGACCCAGTCTGCTAATGAGGATTCACACACAGTACACTCTTTAGGTCCTAAGGCAATGTAGGCTGGGTGTGCTGGTGCTCATCTGTAATCCCAGCACTTGGGATTCAGAGGCAGGAGGATCAGGAGTTCAAGGACAGCCTTAGCCACATAAAGGCCCAGCCGCCAAACAAACAGAAATAGTAAGAAAGTGCTAGGCTTTTGACAGCTGCTTTTTTAGAAAATAATTTCTCTCTTTTTCGTGTCATCTGGATTTTAGGTTGCACTTGCCAGCACTACTTTGCACGGCAAAGTACTTTAGTTCTCTGTGAGAGCATACAGGGTCATAGGGAATGACGGAGAGTAATTTGAAGCCCTTGTTGCCTTGGATCTCATAGCTCCAAGTAGGCCAAAGCTTGCTTGCTTGTTTGTTTTTGAGACAGTATCTCACTGTGTATCTCTGGCTGGCCTGGTACTCACTGTGTAGATGAGGCTGGCCTGGAACTCATAGAGATCCGACCGCCTCTGCCTCCTGAATACTGGGATTAAAGGTGTGCATCACCATTTCCTGAATCTTCCTGTTTTTGAGAGGGAATACCCTGTGTTACCAAGGCTGGCCCTAAAGCCCTGGAGTCAAGCTGCTTCCCTGCTTCAGCCTCTTACACTCTAAGGTTTAAAGTGAGGGAGATGTCCGCGTATACAGAGAACACCCATGAAGCTTCCGCAGAGCCCGAGCAACTTAACACTTATCAAATATGTTTGTGTACAATATGTTTGCGTACTTTTGTTTTCTGAGGCAAGGTCCATACTCACTATGTAGTCCAGGCCGTCCTACTGGAATAGAGGCATGAACTACCATGTCTGGTTCTTTTTGAGCTTTTGAATATTATACCATACATGATGCTGCCTATTGAAAACTAAATTACTTTGAAGAATTTAGTAGCATCCAATGTATCTCTTACTGTGCTCGTGCCATGGTCTCACCTTTGTGGAAAAATCTCAATTTCTGATTCTACGACATAAGTTTTTCTGAGGAACATTGTTACACACTTTTGGAAGCGGCATGCCAGCTGGTCACTACTTTGTGGTTAGGATAAAAACCTTCTAACTCTCAAGCCAACACTATCCCAGAGACTTTCTCCAACGTTGTGGTAGAATCTGGCTGCATCAACCCCCCCCCAAACCACCGATCAATTAGGAGCCTGTGGTTTGACTCCGTTCAGAGCAGGATATACAGTCAGTCACAAACCTTAATGGAAAGTCTCTACTGGCCAAACTGCATCCCTTCCTAGAGAACAGAAAACAAAGTCTGGATGACAGTGTAGCTGATCAGCTCATGCCACTCATGGCAGAGCCCTGTGGTAGGATGTGAGCCTGTTGCCTGGTAGATGTACAAATGCCTGCCTGAAAAGTACTGTGATAGCAGAATAGCCCTTCTGCCTTCTGTAGGAAAGCTTGCAAGCATGGAACTCTGAGAAGATAAATAAGCGAGGGTCAACCTCCTGGCGTTTTACAGCGTGAGCCTCAGAGAAACAAGTCCAGGGAATCTGGCTCCAACTTCTCAAGCCAATTTTTCTACTGGATTTTTTTTTCAATTTTCAATTCCACCTAATAGGGAAAATTAGAAGGAGCTATGGTCAGACTTAAGGAGGTAATTATAATCCTTTAGCTCCCGTGTGGTAACTACTCATCGCTTCGTTGGGTGTCAGGGTCCTACATTGGTTGGCATCCAGGGGAGAGATTTACTGTTTTATTTTCTTCCTATGGAGCTACACTTACCTATTAATCTGAAGTACAAAAAATTTGTTTTAGCCCAGCATGGCAGTTCATGCTTGTAATACATGTGCTCAGGAGGCAGAGGCAGGAAGATTGTCATGAGTTTCAGGTTAGCTTGGTCTAGTGGCTGTTAAATTGCTGAATTCCCTAGAATCATCCTTACTTGCTATTCAGTCTACAGCTGGTTTTCCAAATGATGTCCTTGGAATAGTGTAATGCTACTATGGTTCATTATGTGCTAACCATATGGCAGGCACTCTGGTAAGTGCTTTATAAGACTTATTTTTAAACAATCTTTATATTTTTATATTATCTATGCAAGTGTGTATACAGTTTATGTGTGTGTGTTTGCTTAAACTCACGTGTGTGAATGTAAGCGTGTACATGTGCTCCAGCATCCACACTGTTTGAGATAGGGTCTCATCATCACTGTGTGTCAGGTTGGCTGGCCTATGAGTTTCTGGGGTTCTCCTGACTCAGACTCCCATCTTCCTGAAGGAGTTCTGGGATTACAGATGTTTCTGATACATGGCCAGCTTTAACATAGGTTCTGGGGATTCAAATTCAGGTCCTCACAATGTGTGATAAGTGCTGTACTCACTAAGCCATCTTAGCAACCCTATGTTAATTATTTCACCTAGTTCTTACACCAATCCCATTTTTACAAAAGTAGAAATTTAGCTCCATGGTTCCCACGTGGTGGATCAAGGATTCCAGCCCAGGTTATTACTAAGCCAGTAACATAGTGACCAGCTATATAATATGTTTGGCATGGAGGACAGAGGACAAGGGACATTGTTAGTCCCAAACTCAGGACTATGATCTAGGCAAACTTTTTATCCCCAAATCCATGGTTGCTTGCTTTTGAATCAGGGAGCACATTACAATGTAGTTCGCACTTGCCTTGAATGGAGACGTATCTGCCTCAGGCTCTCCAGTGCTGGAGTCACAGATGTGTGTCATCACATCTCATCCAGTCCATGACTGTGACACTAAGACTCTACTACAGTGGTTCTCAACCTGTGGATTGTGACCCCTTTGGAGGTCCAATGATCCTTTCACAGGGGTTGCCTAAGACCATCAGAAAACACAGATATTTACATTGTGACTTATAACAGTAGCAAAATTACTGTTATGAAGTAGAAATGAAAATAATTTTATGGTTGGGGTCACCACAACATAAGGAATATTAAAGGGTCGTGGCATTAGGAAGGCTGAGAACCACTGATTCACCACTTGCCTGGGTCTATGTGCATGGGGGAGGGGGAACTTATTTTGGTGGGAGCATAAGGTTGTTTTGAGACCTGGTCTTATGAAGACCCAGCATGCAATTCAGTGTAGCTAAGAATAAACTACAATCTTCCTGCTTCCACCTCTCCAGTGCTGAGATCACAAGGGTCAACCACAACACCCCCTTCCTCCATCCCTGCCTGCTTTGAAGCCACGGGTACTCCCAAGGGAAAACTGACATTCAAAGGGAACCTGATGAGGTTTCTCTGTCCTTTCATCTTTTCCTATGCTTAAGAAAATACGTTTTCTGTGTTCATATGTGTGTGCTGGTGCAGACCTGTAACCCTGCACCCAGAAGGCTAAGGCAGGAGGATCCAGAGTATAAAGAGAACTCTGGAAACACAGGCTGTGATAATTAGGTAGGTTATTTCCTTGAACAATAATTCTTCTGAGTTTTTTTTTTCCTTTTGAAAAAATGGTTCTCTTATTGTATGTGTCTGTTGGGAGAACTATTTGGGAATAATGAACCTTCCACATACCACACATCCGATAAACTGTCAACAGGATTAAGAGGCATAAGTCATCACATTATCACAGGTTTGACAGCCTTGTCCGTAGAGCATCTAATAGCAGTTTGTACAGCTGAATACAGGTCCTACCCCAAAGGTGCATGCAGCTGACTCAGGGTCTGGGGATCCAGACTCAATAAATATGGGTTGATGAACAAACAACTGAGGACCAAGTCTATCGGGAACAGGAACGTCATTTACTGAAGAGAACCACGATGCAGGCCCCTACTATTAATATTCCTTTAATCCCCCGTGGTTCAGTTAAACTGTAAAGTGGGCATTCGGACTCCTCGGTTCTCATCTTAGTGCTGAGCCTACAGACTGAATATGGAAGCCTCTGAAAAGAACATCACGCACGAACCCGAGTTTGCGGCTCGCCATCCCCAGCGGCCCACGCCCACGCTCAGCAGCAACCTCAGAGCCCCCACTCCGCCCTCTCTTCCTGGTTTTCCCCAGCAACCCGCCCCTCTGGTGTCACGTGACAGGGCGCCAGCCGGGCCGAGCCCCTGATTGGCTAGACTTCAGGGCGCCTCGCGATTGGCCTGGGGCGGCGGGCCCCCGCCTCCCTCCTCCTCCTCGCCGCGGCCCACGTGAGGGGGGCGAGTCACGCGATTTCCGGGAACCCGTCAGGAAGGACATAAACAAAACAAACCGAGGCAGCATGGAGAGGGGCCGCGGCCGCCGGAGCGCGGCCGGACCCAGTGCCTGAACCGCCTTCAGCCTCAGGTGAGTGGCGAGCGGCCGCATGGGCGGGAGGGATACAGCGGCAGAGAACCGCGGGTGTGAGGCGCGGGTGCCCGGCTCCGGGCGAGCGGGGCGGGGGCCGCCGGGCCGAGGGCGCGCGGGACGGGGTCGCCGATGCAAGCCGGACCAGGCTGCCCCCGCGGCCGACAGTTATATAAAAGGCGGGCGCTCGCGGGCGGGCGGCCCGGTTAGGGCCGTGCCCTTTCCGCTCCCGGGAACCGGGGACCGCGACTGCCGGCAACCGGCCTGTCAGAGCGGCGAGCGGGTGGGAGGGGCCGGGAGGGAGGGGAGGAGAGGGGCGTGTGAGGGAGACCAGCACAGCTGGCGCTCGGAAGGCCAGGGACGGAGGAGCGGGCCGGGAGAACTCTGGGCAGGGGCGTCGTGGGGCTGCTGCTCCCCCCGGCCCCTCCCCGGAGGCGGCGGGCGACGGGGGCCTCCCTCTCGGGATTTGTTTATATGTTCTCTCTAAGCAGCTTGAAAGGCCCGGAGGCGGAGCCCTCGCTGCCGAGTGGCGGCCTATGCTGTCCAATGAAGGACGCGAACGGGGGCCGTGGCGCCAATGGGCGCAGGGGGGCGGTGCCGCGGGCCCCCAGTAAGTTAGGCTGTGCTGGGGGTTGGGCTGGTGAGGCGGCCATATTAGATGGGAGGGGACGGGCCTGAGGGGTCACTGAGTGGGGCGGAGACGGGGCAAAGGGCAAGGAACGGAGCCGGGCCGGGCCGGGGGCGGGCGGGGTGTGGGCTAGAGTCCCGGAGGACCCGGAAGCCGCCCGGAGGAGCCTGACCCGGCTCGGCCGCTCCCGAGTGGAGGCGGCCAGGGAAGTACCGAGGGCAGTCTAGCCTCCCAGGGGGCGGTTCCTGGGACTAGATTGAGCTTAGTCTCGGGCTTCTCCTTCTTGGTCGGCCCTAGGCTGTTTGATAAATCCTGCCGCCAAACCCTGTAATCGCCCTCCTTTAACCCAAGAAAGCAAACAGTTCTGCTGTTTCTGAATAGGCTTGAGTCTTAAGACTACCGTAAGAAGGTTTTTCGGTAGTTTAGGGGTGTGTTTCTGTACCAGGCCTCCCTTGTAGAGAGGCAGGCATTCAGAGGAACTCCTGCTTCTCTGGGATTGCAAAGAAAAAATTGGGACTGAAAAAGCAGATAAAATTGAGGAATGAGCGGCGTTTGTATTTTTTCACCCACGTGGATACCTTCCAAGGATCAGGCCCCTATGCTTCAAGTCTTCATTTGTCTCCCTTGCTCACATAAATTGGAAGCTAACATACGTCAACTTAATGAGAAAACTGACCCTGAGAAAAGTATTTAGATCTGATGAGTCTTTAGGACTTTATCTTTCTAGTACCAGCAGGTGAGAAAAAGGATGAAGGTCTGACTTATTTTTTTAAAAACAGAAATAGGAAATCTTTGTAAATTTTGTCATCTATGGTAAAATGATTGTCACTTGATTCTACTTTAAAATATTTTTCAGTGTTAGCTAGTTTAAGATAGCTGAGAGAGACACCAGAGGGGGAAATGTTGTGGATACAAAATTGGAATTGTTTTGACACCATGTTAGCCTTCTTAAATGCTTTTTAAAGCTTCTTTTAAAATGGGCTTATAACTGTGACCACATTCATATTGTCAAAGGTCCTAGGCTATTTATACATCTTAGGTTAAGTACTTAGGAGTAGGAATACATCATAGATATATCACCTTAGGAGGCTCTTAAAGAGTTGAGCTGAAGAATTAACAAATAGTAAATAAATTATTCATCAACTTTGGTATTGGTTTTGTGTGACCGATCCTCAGTTTTGTTAAAACTTGGTAAAAATATAATCCCAGGTTATTTGATATATTTTTACAATTAGATATAATTTTTAATTTTTTTGTTTGTTTCTGAGGCAGCATTTCTCTGTATAGCCCTAGCTGTCCTGGAATTCACCCTGTAGACCAGGCTGGCCTGGAACTCAAAAACACCCATTTCTCTCTGCGTCTTAAAGTGCTAGGGTCAAAGGTATGGGCAACCACCATCCAGCTATATATAATTTTTGTAGTGAATAAAGTATATTTATATTTTTATCACTTAATGTTGTATTGCTAAGTCCCAATCAATCATAATGCCACAATCAGTTATAAAAGGCTATAACTAAAGTTAAAATCAAGCAAGAATTGTTTTGATGATACCTAGAACACTTAATCAAGGGGTGTTCACTGTCGTTTTGTTTGAGAAGTTAGTTTTCATTGCTTATGTAGTAATTTCTTAAGAATGGCAAATATATACATTAGAGCTTATTTTGGCTAAAATTCTTGCATATGCTTAATATACTTTGGGGTTACAAAATGTTGTTATTGAGACAGGGTTTTACTTTGTAGTCCAGTTGGTTTTGAATTCCTGGGCCTCAACCATTTCTTTCCTGCTGGGACTACAGACAAGTACCACTGTGTGCAGTTCAGGAATTTTTAGTATAGTAAGAATAGAAAAAGAGATACTTCGAGAAGCAATATTGGGTTCTCCATTTACCTTGTCATTCTGTATGTTACATAACAAACTGAAAACAAACTTTGATGAAGAAGATAACCTGTTTGATTGGTGTTAAGTTCTGGAGTCAAAGGATAACTGGTAAAGGCCCTTGGTGGTGGTGGTGACTAAATCCATTGGATAATGGGAGTACAGAAACATCTTAATTGTAGTAGTGTAGTGTAGTAGTTTTTATTTTTGTGTTGGTTTTTCTTTGTAGCTCTGGCTGTGCTGGAACTCATTGTGAAGACCAGGTTGGCCTTGAACCCACAGATATCTGTCTGCCTCTTCCTCCTGAGTGCTGGGATCAAAGGTGTGAACTACCATGCTTGGCAGTGTAGTGGTTCTTAAAATAGTAAACTAAATTCACTGTTAGCTTTTAAAGCTTAATTTTTAGTCAAGACTGCCGATAGGATTTTGAGAGTCATCAGCACAGGCTTATTTCCGGTCAGGTTTGTACCTGGCTGTTTTGGCAAAAGTCTCACTGACTTTTACTACATTTAGTAGTGTCTCATTTTAAGATAAACATTGGCTGGTCATAAATCGATCACACTATTTTGTTTGATTCTGTGAGGTGGGGGCTTGCAGTGTTGTCCAGGTTGGCTTTGAACTTCCTGATCTTTCTGCATCAGCTTCATTACTGGAGTCATAACGATATGCCACAGTACCTAGTTGTTGTTTCTAATTATACCAGGACAAGAGTAGTTGAACTTTTTACTGCATAGGATTAAGTAGTAAATATTTAATAATCTCCATAATGACTGTTCAGCTCTGCAGTTTGTATGGTGCTGACTGATAAGATAGTATAGAAAATGTATTTGGGATATATACCAATAAAACTTTATTTACAGGAGTAAAATGTGTCTATTGGTAGCCCATGATCATTGTTCTCCTTTTTAAGGCATTATCTTGAGTTTGTAGATTTTCCAGAAGGAATGGCAGGGGACATAAATACACATTTTAGATAGTATTGGATCAATAGTCTATTGTATATATCTCCTACCTTGAGAAAGTTTCATTGTAAGAACATAGGGCACAGTCTTATTGCAAAAGTTTACATCCATATAGATGTTTTGAAACTGTTTAAAGTAACTATTGGTATAGTCGTATAGTCCTGTTTGTTTTAGAGGTTCCCTCCCCACTCCCCCATTTCTGAGACTTTCTTTTTGGTATATAGTCCAGGCTGGCTGGCTTTGAACTGGCCTACAACTTTTGCTGTTGTGTGATTTTTTTTTTTTTGAGATAGTGTCTCCTGTTGGCCAGGCTGACCTCAAACTATGTATCCAGGAATATGACCTTGAATTCCTGATCCTCTTACAATCTCCCATTCCAGGAGGGGATTAAAGGTGTTCACTACCATGCTTGAAAGAGCCTTGTATTTTAGTGGTTTGTGATAATTGGAGGTTTTTTTGCTGCTGTTGTTGAGACAGGGTCTCTCTATGTAGCCCTGGTTGTCCCAAAACACAAGGCTAGCCTTGAACAAAGAGCCTGCCGCTGCCTCCCAAGTACTTGGGTTAAAGCGTGTGCCACCATGCTACATCTGGTTTGTGAAGATTTTTCTTTTATATAGCAATGTCCTTTTGTTTTGTGGGGGGGGACACAAATTCCTTTCCAAAAATATGTATTTAATTCATTTGTGTGTACAGATCACATGTGCATGCACAAGAAAATCAGGCACCAACTTGCAGGAGTTGATCCTTTTTTCATTGTTTGGGTCCTATGGATTAAACTCTAAGATTGTCAGGCTTGGTAGCAAGTGCCTTTATTTACCGAGCCATCTTGCCAGGCTGTAAAATCATTCTTGCTGGTTAATCTGAGTCATACTTCTGGGACAAAGTCGACTAGATTTGTAGAGGACTTCAGTGTTACTTCATGTCTGTAGTACTGTTCTGTTCCATCACTAGCCACATCTTGTCTGCTTTTCACCAAGTTATGACCTTTCACCCCAAAATCTGCATCTGAAGTCACTCTATAAGTAGTTCTCTAAGTTGCTGAGACTATCTCAGGCCAGGCTTGTGCTCTATGTTGTTGAAATTGGCCTTGAGCTCCTAGTAGTCCAGCCTCTAACTCTCAGGTGCTGTGACATGAGACACCAAGTTTAACTATTTTGTCCTTTCAACACCAACACTGATGTGATATCTTGTGTTTTCAATTAAATATCTCTTCTTTCTTAAGATAAGATCTAACTATGTAACAGTGCTTGCTCTTGAACTCACAAAAGTCCATCTGCCTCTGTCTCCTAGGTGCTGGGCTTAAAGACCAGTGTCTTAGTACTTTCCTAAGCTTGCTGATATTTTAGTATTTCCAGACAGACTTTCTCTGCGTGGCCCTGGCTGTCCTGAAACTCACTCTGTAGACTAGGCTGGCCTGGAACTCAAGAGATATAACTACCTGAATATTGGGTATGTGCCACTACTACAGCACGCAGTTTCTTGGGTGTCTCTATGTACTTTCTTGAGTATAATACTGTGTCTGAGGGTTTGCTGC